CAACCGCCGCCACCCCCCTCCCTCTTCTTCCACTCTCCAGGACAGCGTGTCTGCGCCGGGTGTCCGATACCCTGGTGGGGTGCCACGGCGGGACTAACGTGCTCTGCGCCCGAGCGTGCCCAAGTTTGCCAGGCGTTGTGGCGAGCGGCGGGGCGGACATGTCACTGCAGGTGAGCAATTGCGAGATCCGGGCCAGATGCTTCCACCCGCCCTACTGCTGATACCTCCTCCGCGCCCCCCTCGCCCGCCCCCTTGCTTACAACTGGGACTTGAAGTTGCGTTGTACCTCTAAACAGGAGGTAGGCTCTGTTGTCCCGGTGTGTTGGGATGACATGGTGGGAGTGTTGCTGGAGTTGCTTTGTTCGACAGCAAGGCGTAATTCGTACAGACGGGAGTTAACTTTGTTTTGGGTCGGGTTCTCGTACAGAATGCCGAAAACGGTTTTACCGCGGCAACGATTAAAGAAAGAATCCGCAACGCGCGAAACCTTCGCTCGCCACCACAACCATCCTCCTTCTATTGTATCGACACCACCGCTGTATGTTTTGTGTGAGTTCGTATCCCTCCGTTGCGTAATCTCCGGGAGTATTTTTTCTCACCTGTGTTTCCCGACTTGAAACAAAATGAAAGCGACCATCGTGATGGATGATAGTTTGGTCCGTCTCTGCGGCGCATGCGCTCCCTCCCTCCCGCGTGTACGTGACACTCGTTTGAATTTGGAAATACATATGTGGTACTCTCCAGTGGACAGTTGTCTAGACCTGTACCACATGCGTTCTGGTATTTCTTTGAACCACCACGATCCCCATGAGGCCAAATATCGACACCGTTTGTTTACATGGGACGACTTTCCAATTCTCCGTTGGAACGGAACGGGGGGGATAGGGGAGATACGGGGGGTACGTCGGAAGAGGGATGACAACGTACCCGGATGATGGTTCTGTTATGTCGCTTGGCGGTGTCCAAACCACCACTGGCTGTACGCGGTGCCAGAGCAGCGTGTGGCGTACGAAGGCTGCTGTGCACCGCAAGAAACGTGTCGCCGGGTACATAGTTCACCGACTAACTGTTGTGTCCTCCACACACCACGCACGGCAGGTATCCCGTCTAGCGCAAGGTCTTGGTGATGATGAAGGCAACATTGATTCCGGCGGCAGCGCTAGCAGCAGTAGCAGAAGCACTGAGCTTCACCGCTTGAAGCTTGCCGCCCCGGTGCTGTCCATGGACTTCTGCCCGTCATCGGCTCCTTTCTGTGGCGGCGGCGGCGGTGGTAGTCCATGCCTACTTCTAGCGGGCGGCATGGACGGGAGTAGTCACCTCGTCTCCATCGATGGCGGCCACGGTGGTGATGCCGGTGATGGTAGCGACGGTGATGATGGCGAGGAGACGAACGGGGTGGCGTTGTTGGCCTCCATGAAGAACCACGCCAAATACGTCGTCGTTTGCAGGTACAGTACTTCCCGTAGAACGTTTGGGGAAGAGCGGCAATCAGGTGTTGCCGCCGTGGCATAAGATGCGCGTTTTTCTGTGTTTCACTAGCTTCGAAGGGAAGCGCTGTAGCCAACGGGGTAAATAACCGCCGCCACCCTGCTTACCTCCTAAAGGGGTTCCTCGGGGTTGTAGGAAATTTCCAGGAACACTCCCCGTCAACCATTCCTTTCGACCAAGTCATGAGAACCCCACTCGTTGTGTTGGGATTATGTGTTTTTGGCCTCCCTTCGAGTACTTGTGTGTTTGTCTCTCGAGTATGCTCGTACCTCGCCGTTTGCCTGTTTGTGTTGAGGTTCACAACATGCCTGACACATGCTGCAGCACGCAAACGATCATTCTTCCACCAGCTTACCATCCGTGTTAAAGATATCATCGAAGAATCAGGACCGACAAGTGACGGCGCCAGCAACAGGTTTAGCCGCCCACGTGCGAGCCTCCCCGTGCCCTCTCCACCACCTAATTTTCCCCAACAACACCACCCCCACTTCTCAGCCCCCCCGCTTCGCCTCTATGCCCCCCCCCCCCCCCCCCCC